CTGCCAATGCTAGAATCATCAGGGATGCTTTAAAAAAAAATACTGATGGAGGGGCACCTGGGTGGCTCGGTTGGTTGGGTGGCCGGCTCTTGGTTTCAGCTCAGGTCATGATCTCAGGGTCGTGGGACTCCATGCTCAGCAGGGTATCTGCTTGGGATTCTCTCTCTCCCTCAGCCCCTCCCCCCCCCACTTGCACCCTCTCTCTCTAAAATAAATAAATAAATCTTTAAAAAAATACTGATGGGGGAAGAGGCAGACCTAGAGATACAGATTTCACTGACCTGGCATGGGCCCTGGATACTGGTGTCTTAAAAAAATTCCCCAAGTCGTTCTTTTTTTTTTTTTTTTTAAGATTTTATTTATTTATTTGAGAAAGAGAGAGAAAGAGTGCAAGTAGGGAGATGGGCAGAGGGAGAGGGAGAAGCAGACTCCCCACTCAGCAGACAGCCCGATGCGGGGCTCAATCCCAGGACCCTGGGATCATGATCTGAGCCGAGAAGGCAGACGCTTACACAACTGAGCCACCCAGGCACCTCTCCCCAAGTTGTTCTAATGTAGTTTGTTTCCAAGGGTTGAAAACCACTGGCCTAGACGGTGGTTCTTAATATATTTTTGGAGGAGCGGGAGGCAGAAAAGGCATCTAGGCAGCTTTTCCCCATTGCCCATGCCTGCCCTCTCTATCAACATCTTAGTGAAGGGGCTGTGCCTATAGGTTAAAAAGCCTGGTTCTGATCTTCCCAGAGCACAGCGGAGAGCCATTGGTGGGGTGGAGCTCCAGAGCTTGCATTAACATTCTTTATTAGGTAACATTAGTTCCACACAAGAGAATAAATATAACTCATAAGTACGTTAAGCAGAATAATAATAAAAGACCTCATGACCCAACGGAAATCCCGGACCTTTATAAACACAGTTGGTGTTACTTGGTCTCCCTCCTCCCTCCTGCCCCCTGCCTCCCCACGGGAGATAACCTCCTTCTTCAATGGGGTCTGCATTATTAACAAGCAGGTGGTCTTGGTGCTTTGCTTCCAGGAAACCCAGGTTCTGGGCCTGGGGAGGGCAGGGCCTGCAGGTTGGGAGGGTGTGAGGAGGCGGGGAGGAGGATCAAGGGCCCAGCTGTGAGCACGGGACGCAGAGCCTGGGGAGCCAGGCAGAGCCTGCCACAGCCTCTGAAAGCAGGCAAGGCGTTTGTTAAAGTGCTAGAGAAATCCCTTTAGACCCAGTACAATGGAGACCCAGATGCTCTCGGAAAGGCCAGGCTTTCAGCTGTTTTGTTTTCCCGGCCCTGACTGCGGCTGCCAAATTGACAGGCACGCAACAGCTCAGGGGGTGCAGAGTTTGAGGCCCCACGGATCTGTCGGATAAGAACAAAAAGATGCAGCTTGCTCTCTCTTTCTCTCTAGGCTAACCACTCGGGTGAGCCTTTCCTTAGGATTATTATTCAGTTATAAACCCAGATGCTTAAAGCTACCTTCCTTAGAAGGTACAAAGTAGGTCAGCATTGGTCCACCAGGGTGCACAGCCTCTGAACGAGCGCCACAGGCCGTGTGAATAATTTAGTGGACACATCCCCTGGAGCGGCACTGCAACAGGAGCGCATTTTGTCTCCCCGGGAGATCGTCAGCGCCCCGAGGAAAGAGGATGCCCAAGTGCCCAGCTGTAGGAGCGCCAGAGGGAAGGGGAAATCGGGAGTGGAGGGGTGGCAGTACCAGGGTAGGAAAACAGCTCTTGGAAGGCCGGGAGACTGAGGCAGAACTTGGGGCAGGGTCTATGGACGGGATCCAGGGAGACTGAGTCAGGGGCTGCTTGAGGAAACATGTCCAATCCGAGGGCTGGGGCACAAGGACATTAAGATCCAGTCTGGCTTAGGGGCTGGATAGAAGAGAGTGGGTTTAGGTGACATCGGCAGCCAGGGGGGTGGCTTAGGACCTATATGGGCCTTTAAACACTCCACAACTACAGCCTGAGATGGAATGGGGGGCCTTAAATCACACAGGGGCTTTTATGTGTTTTCCAGAGGTGGCTGCTCCCATGGATGAGAAACCTGGAAAAGATCAAGAGTTACTCACCACCTTGCACAAAGATGCACGTGCGGAGGTTTTCATCGGCTATAAAGAGCTAAAGGCTCTCAGGGGAAAAGCTGTCACTCCTGGCTAATGAGGTCCCGGCAGATGACAATGTGAAAAATAAGACAAAGAAGGCCAGCCTGCCCTCTGAGAGGTGGGTAGACAGCGTGGTGACAGCATGGCATCTGACCTTGGACTAAAGGTCTCCCAGGCGGGGACAGGAGCCAGAAAGCTACAATTTGGGGTGCCAGGCCTGAGCACACTACAGAATAGACTCCAGCAGGGACCCGAGGGTTAATCGGAGTTATGCTGATAGTAAATACTATGGCCTCTCTTACATTACTGCTGGGAGTAGACCTTGTGATAGCCAGTTTGGAAACTAATTTGGTGGCATCTCCTAAAGCTGAGCACATGTGTACCCTGTGACCCAGCAATTCCACTCCCAGGAATGGGCCCCACAGAAATGTGTGCATAGATTTGCTGGAAGAAGTATACGAACATTCATAGCAACAGTATGACTGGCAACCACCCAAACACCCATTGATAAGTACTGTGTGGTACATCAGACTACAAAGCAGTAAGAGCGAATAAAATACAACACGAATTTCACAAAAATAATGTTGAGCTAAGGAAGCTGATGCAAAGGAACAACCACTTAATTTCATTTATATAAAGTAAACAGAACCAATCTATGGTGAATATACTAAAAACCACTGACTTCTATACTTTAAGGGGGTGAATTGTATGGTGTGTGAATTACATCTCAATGAAGCTGTTTTTTTTTAAACTGTGGTATTAGAAGTCAGGGTAGTGGTTATCCTTGGTAAGGAGTAGTGACTGGGAGGGGGCATAAGGAGGGACTCTGGTCTGGCAATGTCTGGCCTCTTGATTGGGTGCTGGTTACAAGGGTGTGTTCAGTTGTGACACTTCTATATATTACAATTTGTGCACTTCTTGGTATTTATGCTACGCTTCAATAAAAATAGCAACGACAATGACTGCAAACCAAACAGGCTGGGCCTGGCCTGGCTCCAGCACATGGGGATGGGGGACTGGATATGCTCCCTCACTCCAGAAAGGCCCTGTCACTAGTGTGCCCTGCAAGAGGACCCTGCACAAGTTTATGGGGACGGGGTTCCCCATTTCATCAGTGAGGCATTACCCACAGGTCCTGGGAGAATTCTCAGAAGAGAAAGTGGGAAGGGTCTGCCTGCAGCCTCTCTTCTCTGGGCTCCGCTAGGGTAGGCAGATTTGGCCCCAGATGCTGAAGTATTAGTCCTGGGAGCAGCCTTGCCTCAGGACAGGCTAGGCCACAGCTACTGTGACTCCTTGCAGCCCAGCCTTCCAGGGGCCTGGTCTGTTGCTCCTGGACTGGAAAGGGAGGATATCTCCAGGGAGACCTAAACAGCCAACTGCCTGAGATGGGCCAGCCCTAGAACTGTGACCCGAAGGCCAGCCTCTGCCTACCCCAGCCAGGCTCCTCAGAGGCGGGTTTGGAGAGCCTTGTCAGCCACCGCCTAGCCAAGACACCTGAACCCCCAGGAAAATGGATCACAGCGGGAGACACCTGAGCATGGGAGAAGGGCTCCCTGAGAACCCCAGGTAGAACAGATGTGGGATTTTAGGGTGCAGGGCCATTGGGGATTTGAGGTTGTGGGCCAAAGTAGGACAGAGGACTGACTATAGCCCCTGGGCCAGTAACTAGTGGATCCCTTTCTCCCAGGGAGTGTTAGAGGCCAAGGCCTTTGGAAGTCAGACAGTGTAAGGGGCTGCCACCCGGGTCAGGAACTTGTAGTCCTTGAGATTCTGATTCAATTCTGCATTTAAAAAAGTCTTCAGGGGTGCCTGGGTGCCTCAGTCAGTTGAGTGTCTGACTTCAGATCAAGCCCCACGTCAGGCTCCCTCCTCGGCAGGGAGTCTGCTTGTCCCTCCCCTCTGCCTCTCCCCCAACTCGTGCTCTCTCTCTCTCAAATAAATAAAATCTTTAAAAAAAAACCTTCATAGGTAACTCTGATGCATAGCTGGGTACAGAGACCCACATAGATTAAGCATCATTCACTGATTCACTCAACAAACATTTACTGGGTAGCTACTCTGGTTCCTGGTCAGGGACAGGCTCTGGGAAAGCAGAACAATACTGTCAGGTCTTAAGGAGTCCATAGTCTGGTGTTCATGGAGAGGTTGGCACGAGACAGATAATTACAATGCAAAGGAATGACAGCAGTAACAGGTTCTGGAGCACAGAAGAGGGATAAAAGAACCCACATGTGACTCTTTTCTCCTAATTCGTTTCACAGGCCTGAATTTTTGTATTCTGCATTCAGGAACATCCAGCAGCTCAGGCCCCACTCAATAACTGTAGTGTCCATGGCCCTGCCCTCTGAAAGAGACTCACCACGTTTTTTTTCCTAGCTGTTTTTAAAAATAATGAAAAAGCTAGGAGAGATAATACAAGATGGCTCACTACGTCTGTTTCATATTACTGCTATTAAAATCGTCTAGAAGAGAAATACCTATTTGTCACCATCTTTGGGGAATTAATAATTTAGCTTATCACACATAAAGGAGTCCATCAGATCAATACCTCACTCCTGTCACATATATGCACAATAACAAACACCAGCAAATTCTCTTCTTCTAGGTCTGCATTACATGCCTTAGAAATATAAACATAAAATCAGTGTCCAGCCTCAGTACATAGGTAAGTGATGTGATCAGTAAAACAGGCCTACATACCTCCTTTTTGGTAGTCATGGAGATCTAGGACATCTAGCCTGGAATTTCCTATGTCAGTTGCCACAGTGGCCCCAGGAGAGCACCCTTCTCCTTTGAGCAACACAGCAGGGGAATCCTGTTCACATGGGTCTAGTCTGGAGCAGCCCCACAAATGGAAGAAGCCAAAGGGAAGGCACCTTCAGCAAACAGGAGCATTACCTTGGTCCCGTGGTAGAAGTCATCCACACATGTAGCATTCATGAAGGTCTGATGGAAGTGGGTGCTGGTGTCAATGCCTCCAGGGATCACCAGCTTCCCAGTGGCATCGATCACCTTGGCCCCTCCAGGGATCATGAGCTCACGGCCCACCTGCTGGATGATGCCATTCTCGATGTAGACATCAGCCTCGTGGGTGCAATCATCGTTCACCACCTTGCCTCCCTTGATGAGAATCCTCACGCTGCCTGAATTGGCAAGCATGTTCCTACGGAAGGTGAGAGGGAGGCACCAGTCAAGGTCAGAGTCCCTTTTCACTGTGACCGACGTCCCACTTCTTCCCACCAGAGGCCAACCTCCATGGGCAGAGTAAGTGAGCAGGGAAGAGGAGGAAGTTTCTCCATAGCCTGAGAACATCAGTCCTACAACCGACTGGGGTCACAAGCCTCCCACCGACCTCCTAGTGGGACTTAACTGGGAATCATGACACAGTGGCAGTAAGGATGAATCTGGGGCCCAAAGAAACATCAATGTTTACCTTCCCAAAATGCTGTGTAGGTTCAAAAGCATTTTCACACCTACTGTGTTGTTTTATTCTCGAAACTACCCAAGGAGTTGCATTTTACCAACAAGAAAGCTGAAATTGCTAAGTAAGGAATCGATGGCTTCTAAGCAGCCAAGTCAAACCCAGATGCCTTGGATGACCAATGTCTCCATTATACGATATGGTCCCAAAGATATCAGGGGCTCCTGGGGCATGTCTCTGAGAGCCAAATTCTCTAAGCCTCCCCGTTGTTTAATTCATGTCATTCTTCAGATGGATTCCGCTTCAGCTCGCCCTCCCATCCTTCCTCAAGGCCACTACCACACCGAACTCCACAGCAGGCTGCACAGTTAATAAGCTGATCTGCAGAGCTTTGGAAAAGCACCTTCACTCAAGTTCCACCCCCAGAGATTCAGCTTTATTTGCTCCGGATTGGGTCCCCCAGAACCACTATTTTTTTGTAAAGATTTTATTTATTTATTTGACAGAGAGATACATGGCAAGAGAGGGAACACGAGTAGGGGGAGCAGGAGAGGGAGAAGCAGGCTCCCCGCTGAGCAGGGAGCACGATGCGGGGCTCGATCCCAAGACCCTGGGATCATGACCTGAGCCGACGGCAGAAGCTTAATGACTGAGCCACCCAGGCGCCCCCAGAACCACTATTTTTAAAAAACAGAGAACCTTACCATATGCTTAAAGAATGAATGCCAATCTCTTGCAGAAGGGAGAAGAGAAGGAAACATTCCCAACATTCCCAACTCATTTTATGAAACCAGTATTACTCTGATACCAAAGCCAGACAAAGACAGTACCAAAAAACTATCGAGTAATATCCCTCATGAATATAGATACAGAAATTCTTAACAAAATATTAGCAAGTGGAATTCAGCAATATGTAAAAAGAATTCTACACCATGCAAATGGGATTTATTCCAGGGATGCAATGTCAGGTTCAATATTTGAAAATTTAATCAATGTAATCCACCCTATTAACAGGCTAAAGAAGAAGAATCACATAATCACATATTATTTGATGCAGAAAAAGCATTTGACAAAATTCAAACATCTATTCATGATAAAAGCTCTCAGAAAAGTAGGAATAAGTTAACTTCTTCAACTTAATAAAGAACACCTACGAAAAACTGGTAGCTAACATCAGACTTAATGCTTAAAGACTTCATGCTTTCCCCCTACAACTGGGAACAAGGCAAGGATGCCCACCATTTTCACTGCTGTTCAACAAAGGGAGTGCTAGCCAGCTATGGAAACATGAAATGAAATAAAAGGCATATAGATCAAAAAGGAAAAAAATAAAACTGTCCCTATTTGCAGATGACATGATGGTTTCGGTGGAGAAAACTCCAAAGAATCTAAAAAAAAAAAAAAAAAAAATCTCCTAGAACAAATAAGTGAGTTCAGCAAGAATGCAAGATACAAGACCAACATACAAAAAGTTCATTCTTCTATATACTAGCAATGAACACATGTACATGCAAAAAAATTAAAATGCTTAGGCATAAATCTAAGAAAACATATACAGTATTTATATGCTAAAAAAACCACAAAATGCTGATGAAAGAAATCAAAGATGGAAGTGAGTGGAGAGACACACCATATTCATGGAATGGAACACCCAACATAGTAAAGATGTCAATTTTCCCCAAATTGATACACACGTTTAATGAAGTTCCTATCTCAGCAAAAATCTTTTGTGGATAGAGGCAAGCTTATTGTCAAAGTTTATGTGAAATGACAAAGCTAAAATAATTTTGACAGGGGTGCCTGGGTGGCTCAGTTGGTTAAGTGTCTGCCTTCAGCTCAGGTCATGATCCCCAGGTCCTGGGATCGAGTCCCATGTCCGGCTCCCTGCTCAGTGGGGAGTCTGCTTCTCTCTCTCCCTCTGCCTCTCCCTCCGCTGGGTCTCTTTCTCTCTCTCAAATAAATAAAAATTAAAAAATAAAATAAAATAATTTTGACAAAGAATAAAGTGGGAGGAATTAGTCTACCGGATTTCAAAACTTATTACTTAGCTCCAGTAATCAAAACTGGGTAGTACGGATGGAGGGATAGACATAAAATCAGTGGAACAGAATAAAGATCCAGAAATAGCCCAGATAAGTACGGTCAACTGATTTTTTTTAAAGATTTTATTTATTTGAGAGAGAGAGAATGAGAGATAGAGAGCACGAGAGGGAAGAGGGTCAGAGGGAGAAGCAGACTCCCTGCTGAGCAGGGAGCCCGATGTGGGGCTCGATCCCGAGACTCCAGGATCATGACCTGAGCCGAAGGCAGTCGCTTAACCAACTGAGCCACCCAGGCGCCCAGTCAACTGATTTTTGACAAAAGTGCAAAAAAAACATTCAATGGAGGGAAGATAGCCTTTTCAGCAAATGATGTTGGAGCAATTTGATAACCATAAGCAAAAAATAAACCTTGACTTAAATCTCAGATCTTACACAAAAATCAACTCAAAACGGATCATCCATTGAGTGGCTGCATTTGACCACTAACCATTCTCTTCCTCTTGGAGCTCCCTCTCCTTAGCATTAAATGTGGCCATGCAGGGGAGGTGGGTAAGGACCACAGGGAGATCTTGGCCACTGTTTTGGAGAGGAGCAAGTCTTTGATAAATGGTGGTTGAAGGCAAGTTTATGGAAACTTGTCAAGACCTTTGTGAGTAAAGGGAGCCATAAAATGGGCTGAGGACAGCATGCCTGAAGGAAGAGATCAATTTAGGACAGATCTAAGATTTTTTCAAAGAGCTAGGAAAGAGTCAAAGGATTGATTAAAGATAAAAGAGGACAAGGGATTACTTGTAATGGAAGGTCTTGCAGCATGGAAGAACGATGGCCATTATTAATGGAAACCAGGTCTCTGTCACCGACTTAGATGGTTTATTTTATTTGATCCTTCCAAAGGTATTATTATGCCCATCCACAGAAGAGGAAACAGACTCAAGAGAGGTTAAGGTCAAGGCTTGTAGAAAGGAGATATGTGAAGATGCAGAAGAGGTGGGGGTACACAGGAATCTGTGTTCTCTCTGCTCTGCATAGTGGGAGGCGGGGAGCTCCTGGCAGCAGCAAGGGGCAGGAGGATGTGAGCAGAGTGGGGGAGACGTGGAGGAGCCACTGTGCGGCCTGAGACGGGCAGCGGGCTGGATACAGGGGAAGGCGTCGGCGTTCAGACAGCTGCCGTGATGGGGAGCTAATCAGAATCCCGTCCAGGGAGCACCCTTGGGTTGGATCTGCAACTCTCTTGACCCTTAGGTATCTGAACAGAAATGATTTTCATTTAGACTTAGGAAAGATACGACAAAGTCTGACTAGGAGGAGGGAGACTTCACCATTTCAGGGTCTCCTCGGGCATGAATGAAGCCCACCTCTCCACTTGGTAAACTGCTCATTCTTCAGGACCTAATCCAGTTGTCCCCCTTTATAAGACGTCTTCCCTCTCTGCCAACTTCAAAGACTTCATGGCCCTGGAGTCTCTCCACACCTCTGAACTAGGGTTCTCAAGGTCCAAAGCCTTATTAGGGATCACTGTTTCTGCTCCCTCTTCAGCCCCAGCCCCGAGTATAAGATACTCAAAACCAGTGAACAAATGAATCAATGGCCTCATCTACTTGTTGCATCCCAACACGATCAAACGGCTTAAAGCAGTGAGTGGTAGGCTGTTCCATATTTGTTTTCTGGGATATCTGGCAACTCTATGTCCAGGACAATGCTCAGCTTTCATCCCTTTTCCAATACAGCAAATTACTGTGGACAGAGCAGAGAAAGAAACATATTTCCTCTTATTCTTGCCACTTCGTTTGTCTGCCATCAGGTAAGCTGTGAGAAGGCTGCGTCCCAGGATGAAAAGGCCTAGAACCTGTTGAAGGAATACCCTCTTGTAAGGAGATGGGTCAACTATCTGGTGATCTTAGTCGGCTCTCCTGGACACACTTGGTTAAGCAGTTTGTTTTTGTCAAGTTGACCAGGCTGGAGTGCATGGACTCTCCACACCAAGAAAGTTGGCTGTGCCTATTCGGGGTCAACCACGAGGCTCTCCTGCTGTTAGGTGACCAGCCCCTTGTGGGGCTGTTGCTGGGGGCGGTGCTGGGGAACAAGACAGGTGGTGGGAGTGAACCCTGTTCCCTTACACAGCAACAGCTCTTTCCCAGGAACATCTGCTCCCCTCCCCTCCCAGGTATCAGTCCAACCTCTGGGGAGAAGGGGCCCCTCCCCTAGTGAGGAAGGCAGTGGGCAAAGAGGCAGTGGGGAGGAGTCAGGCTGGAGAGATGGGAAGATGGGACAGTTCCAGCCACAAGCTTATTGTCTGAACCCGGATGAAGCGGAGTATATTTGATCTTTTGTCCTAAAATCTGAAAACCGGAGTTTTAATTTAACATGCAATTAGGAAATGAGTTTCTTTGCAGGTGAGGAACACAACCACTCTGGCCAAAGGAAGCCCAGAAAGGCTGACAGATGCAATCTCCCTCTCTCTCATTACGAAGCCAAGGCCAAGTGTGACCATGAAAGGAGAGATGCGACTTCTCAGTTTGCACTAGAGGAGGGAAGTGATGGTGGTGGAAGGGATGGCCGAAAGAAGGCCCCCCGCCGCCACGCCCCCTGTGCAAATATATAACCCTCACTTTTTAAAGCTGCTTTAGGGCAAGAGGAAAAATAGCAATATTTATGCTGGGAAACGGCTTATTGTTTATGTCAGTGTTGTAAAGGAGACTAT